TGTGTGTATAATATATACATATACAGGATGTCTGGAAATAATCGATCGGTGATACGCTTACCGATCGCTTGGCGCGCGAACGAAAGTAGGGAGCGAGGATAGCCTGGCAAGCACATTGTCCGAGCTATGGAAGGCTATATTCGGCTATCTTTAAGGATTAATATCTCATTAACTATTGGGTAAACTTACAAAATGGTAGAGAACTTTCGACTCAGTTTAGTCCACTCTACCTGCCCATGAAATCTTTGGCGATTATTTCCAGACACCCTGCATGTATGTGTGTGTGTATGTGTGTGCGCGCGCGCGCGCGCGCGCGTGTGTGTGTGTGTGTGTGTGTGTGTGTGTATATACACGTATATAAAAGCTTGTATAAAATTAAATACAATTTTTATTCTAAAACATTCTAAAATATATTTTTATGCAAATAAATAATAGGTTTTTTCAACAGAGATATGTTTACACATTTTCATCAAATGCACGGCATTCATATTTTTACAAATATTGCCATCATGTTGTTATCAATATGCTGTTTTTCACGAATATCACATCGTGATGACAAATTGCTCTCATGTTGCCATCAAGATGCCGTCAATATGTTGTCAAACGCGAACAGCAAAGCTATGAAAATAATTGCCATCACATGTACATTCGTTATGTATAAGAAAGTGGTATCATCAAAGTGCTATCAACTTGCAATCATTAAATTTAAAATTCATATGAGAGTAAAATTATACACATAATAAGAAAGTTACTTGTTCATCGACATATCTATTGCAGCAACATGGCGGCATCTTCGACGCATTTAACTATCTGTGTTATTATACGTACATGTTGCCACTTTGTTTTTGACTGTTTTAAACTTAAGACTTCTGATGAGTTTACCAATCTATTTTATTAATTACAATATTCTTCAACATGATTTATTTAATTGTTTATGATCCAAAAGTATTACTGTTCGGAACATTTTGTCGTCATAAAGTGAGTTTATGGCACACTGCATGGAAAGAAAATTTTCGTTTTATTAATCATTATAAAACATGTTTATATTATAGTTGTGTGTGTGTATATATATAGCGGCATTTACATCACCAAATTTGATGTCACATTACTTCGCTCAAGGGAGAAATGAATAACATATATATATATATATGATGAGATATGGATTGTTATTTATCTCTCCCTTGAGCGAAGTAATGTGATATTAAATTTGGTGATGTAAATGCCGCTATTCTGAATTTTTTATTTTTTAACTGTAAAATTATGCTGAAGATGACTCAAATCTATAGCGTAGATTTGACCAAAATATTCATTTTATATTGAAATATTATTAAAATCGGTATGTTTTAATTTTTATCTACTTTTTGCATTGATTCCTATAAGCGTTGTTATTTGTTTTTAACTTTTTTTTATAAAAATTGCTACTTTTGTATTTATTTTAAATAGAAAAATTTTAAACTAAAACAAAATTTCGCTAAAATTTAAATGTGTTTTCAACAGTTTTCATTAAAAACATACTATAAATTTCGCGCCTTTTAGATTACATATAAATCATATCCAATATAGTTTTTACATGACCCAATTATATTACTATTCAAAAACGCTTCAAATTTTCTGAATAACTCCATAAAATCAATCGAACAACTATTGTAAACGTAATTTGTATATATTAAATATAAGAACTAACCTGTGTAATAATACGTAATATCTTAAAACGTTGTCTGCCTTTAGCTTTCAAACGAAACTCTCGTCGACCATGATCTAACCATATACCTCCGTCTGTGTATTCGTAGATTTCAGCAGTTGTTCCTATTCGCTCCATATCAGGATTACCATAACACACGACACCAAAAGTACGATCGTTTTGTATACAAGTTTGTAACATCTCTATAGTCTGTGTGCCAAAGACTGTCATTGGTAACGTTTGTCCAGGGAACAATACAGATTGCTTCACTAACAATGGTAGATTTATATAAATACCATCATCCAATATAGTTCTTCCTCTCAATTCTTCTAAATTTTGTCCTAAATACTACACAGAATAAATTTAATTACATATTTTATAGAGTTTTAAGTTGTTACAAATAAACATGGCCAATAGTATGTTAAATGCTATTTATCTTTAGAATACCAGAAAATATAGACTTACAGAATGTGCTGCTGGTAATGTTACATCAAATGTATTCTCTGAGGGCACTGGTATGTCGTCCATATTGGGCTCTAGTCTATTGCTTGACAGGTCTAAAAATATATTACTGTTCATCATATATTTGATAATATATTAAATTATATACAGGGTGTTTTTATATAATGCATTTTACATAATGCATTAAGATTTCTCGAAAACTCTGGTAGATACGGAAAAATGTTTCAAACAAAAGTTGTATAATTCGAAAGAGGACATAAGAAGGTTGATTTGATCTTAGGTGGCGTCGCCAAAATCAGGTTAAGGTCGTCGATCTTTTTAAATGGAACTCCTTATTTTTCGTTACATATTCTTGTAGAGTATCTCAAGAGAGCTTTTCAAAACACTATAATAAAATATTTTTTCTTTAAATGCTTTTTGTGTTATAAGGATTGAAAGTTACAGTACCGCCGGCATTAGCATTACACAAAGTGTCTGACCGATAGTTAAATGCATTATTTAAAATGGGACATATATATACAGGATGTCTCATTTTAATGTGACATCCAAAATAACTTTTTTATTTTTTTATCTTAGAAAAAAATGTTTCAGATAAAAGTTGTATGGCTTTGGGGGATGGGCAATAATGTCATTAGTTTAGTCTTAAATAGTTTGAAGGTCACGTGAAGGTTATCTTTAATTTCTTAAATGGAACCCTTTACTTGTTATTGCACATTCTTGTAAATCATCATTAAGTATTGTACTTTTCGAGTTATAAGGCTTGCAAGTTACAGCATTGCCGGCATTAGCATTACCCAAGGTTGTCCGACAATTAAAATCTCTAAGTGTTGTTCAAGATCACGTCTTGAATAACATTCGTTAAGATCAAGGTCATTGGATATTATTTCTCTTACTTTCATTTTTGCACCAAGAATTCATTTTTACGTAATGAAAATAAGAGGAATGATCTTAGAGGTTGATCTTGACAAATGTTATCCAAGTCATAATCTTGAATATTTAATAGGTTTTAGTCGGTCGGACACTTGGGTAATGCTAATGTAATTGGCGATGCTGTAACTTACAAGCCTTATAACTCGAAAAGTATACTTAATAAAAATGAATTTATTTATAGTATTTTGAAAAGTTCTCGAGATGATCTACAATAAAAAATAGGGAGTTCCATTTAAAAGATTGAAGATAACCTTCACGTGACCTTCAAGTAACTATTCAAGTAACTATTCAAACTAATGACACAATCTGATATCCCTCAAAGCCATACAATTTTTGTCTGAACATTTTTTCTAAGATCAAAAATAAAAAAGTTTGGGGTGGGACATTAAATTAGACACCCCATATATATATATATATATAATATATATATATATATACATATATATATACACATATATATAGTATTTCCTTACATTAGGCGGTAATTACTTCACTTTAGGGGAGCTCCGATGATCTTGACCACACATATGTTGTAAAGGTCATGGCTGAGTGGCCAACAGGTTCTAGCCGTCGCTCTTTATTCATTAAAAGTTATTAAGAAGAAAAATTTGAAAAATGATGTCTCTTTTTATTATATACAACAAAAATTTTCTGCTTTAAAATGTATTTTACGACAGTTCATTCGAAGCGAGTTTCACCTCATCTCCCCCTTGTCTCGAGACGTACTTTCCACGCGAAACGAATTCCATCCCATCTCGCAAAGTCGTTTCACGTGGAAAGTCATGCGCTCCTTAACAGAGGGAGAGGTAGGATAAAACTCACTTCGCTTGGAAAGTCGTACGTCCCGAGACAAGGAGAAGGTGAAGTGGAACTCTTTGCATGGAAAGTCGTACGTCCCCTAGGCAGAAAGGGTATAAGGCAGTTTTTAACTTTTTTAAAAAAGGTAAAAAGAAGCGGTAAGAATATATGTGCTTCTCAAATAAAACCTAAGTAATTATGTTACAAATCTTTTTATTATTCCAACCCAAGAAATAATAGTTTTAATTCCTCTTCAAAGATATTCTTATTGAACTTCAAAGATATTCTAATCGTATTTTAGTAATAGCAGTTTTAATTCTCTGCTAAAAATTATTTCTCCTCGAAAAAAATTATTGTACCATGTTAAAAATTAAAACCCAAATACTACAATTCCATCAAATTAAAAAGTAAAGCCCAAGTACTTTGTTATTTACTTAACTCTAATGATATGTATCATTCGCATAAAAGATTTGATATCGATAACTAGCATGTCAAATTCTACAAAATTTTATGTATCATTCGTACAAAAAATTTGATAGCAACAATTCTGGCGCCAAATTAAATCTCATATTAATCAAACCTATTTAAATAAAGAATATAATCCATGTGGTATTATCTTTAACTTTGTACAACGGAAACTAAGTATATATACGTACGAGGGCAAGTCAATAATTTCTTAGAAAATCTGTCAGAGGACACACGCAGTGTCATGTCACATGATTTTTTGACAAGTAGTATCTTTCAGCTGACTACTGTCAAATTTTGAACGGAATTCATCGCGTGGTTTCATTTCTGTAGACGATTAAAACGAACAACTTTTGTGTTTTTTGCAAAATGGAAAAAAACGAGTTTCGTGCAGTGATCAAATATCTACATATGAAAGATTTAATGCCGAAAAAAATCAAAGCCAAGTTGGATAATGTTCATAGCACATCTGCACCAGCGTTTGCAACTGTATACAATTGGGTGAATAAATTTAAACGTGGTCGTACATCCACAGGTGATGCATCTCGTTCGGGATGTCCAATTGAGGCTGCTACGCCAGAAATCATTGATAAAGTCCACGATATTGTTTTGACTGATCGACGAGTGAAAGTGTGCGAGCTTGTTGAGGCCACAGGCATATCACATGGCACAGTGATTTCAATTTTGCACGAACAATTGGGTATGAAAAAGCTATCGGTAAGATGGATGCCGCGTTTACTCTCTGTGGACCACAATTCATCAATCGATTCAAAATCACGACATCGCGACCATGTGACGATTTCAAAACAATGTTTGGAGATGTTTCAACATAATCCAGATGAATTTCTGCGTCGATTCATTACTGTAGACGAAACATGGATCCATTACTTCACACCCGAGACGAAGGAACAGTCAAAACAATGGACTTCACCGAGTGAACCAGCTCCGAAGAAGACGAAGACCGTGAAATGATGGCCGTTAAATGATGGTCACAGTTTTTTGGGAAGCACGCGTATAATTCATATCGATTACCTTCCGTCGAAGCAAATGATTAATGGCGATTACTGTGCAGCCTTAGACCGTTTCAACAACATTTTAAAGAAAAAACGTCCCCATTTGGCGAAGAAGAAAGTGTTCTTCCATCAAGACAATGCACGGGTTCACACGTGCCTGGTACCGATGGCCAAATTCAATGAATTCCGCTACGAATTGTTTCCCCATCCAGCATATTCGCCAGATTTAGCCCCCTGCGACTATTTCCTGTTTCCAAACCTGAAGAAATGGAAAGAGATTCACTATCAGAGAGCAGCTCATCGCTGAAACAGAGGCTTATATTTTGAAGGGTTGGACAAATTATATTATTCGGACAGCTTGAAAAAGTTGGAGAATCGTTGGATCAAGTGTATCGAGTTGAAAGGAGACTATGTTGAGAAATAAAAATGAATCGATCAAAAAAAATGTGTTTTACTATGTTTTTCTAAAAACTTATTACTACTTGCCCTTGTATTTTCGTATATATCTTATTGAAGGATCTTCCTATTTTGATCCAAATGGCTTTAATTCTTCTTATATGAAATTTTCATATCGCAATTCAAAAACATTTTTTCTTTCAATCAAAGTAGTAGTTATTTAATTCAAAACATTATTCAAAGTATTATGATAAATTTTCGTTATTTTGTCCATTTCAATGTGATCACAAATAATTAAAGAAGTAAACACTTGGCGCTGCTAGATCAAATAAGAAAAACTATAAAAACGATTAAAAAATTTTAAATAGTTAATAAAAATAAATAATAAAAAGTAATTACAATTTTAATGTAATAATGAACTTAATCTGAATGTTTTACACCAAATAAAAATAAAGTTTACTATTCTTTTTTCTTTTTCGTAACGCATGTCTTACAAATCTAAGTTTATTTATCTTAGACTTAAATCTAATAACTAACAATTTTCGTAACTTACAATGTATACGCAAATTACATATATGTATACACACGCTGGATACTTTTACTCTCATGGGAATGTTTCTTATTTTGTCCGAGTATCTTATTCCAAAAAGTTACAGATTCGGACTTTACGTTGCAATATCTCTGTTTGTAGGATAGATAAAGAAAAAAATAAAAGCACGTGTAATACAATCTAAGCTATTGATTAAGCGTACATAAAAGATCAGCTATTATTTATCGGATCAGCTGTTATTGATCTGATAATCTCGATTAGGCGCAACTCGCAAAGGAAAACTTCGTAAAGGAGCACAGCAGTGTCTCGCGCCATAATGCTGCGCTTGTCTCACTACCGAGACACTATCATATCTCCAGATATTGCATTTTGGTAGAAATAAGACACTATTTGTTAAATTTTATTTGTTAATAACTTTCGAATGAAACAGTAATGACCACCTAAAACCTTTTGAAGGTCACTTTTATGTACATATCCATCATATATAAGGTATCATATTTATAATAAAGCACAGAAAATAAAAGAAATTTTGAAAATTAATTTTATGTAAATATATCTCAAAAACTATGAGACCATCAATTAATTTATAAGAAAAAATTGTTCAGTACTCTCATTGATCAGTATCCTCCATAACCTATGTTAAGATCAAGATCATCGAAGAGGTGCCCCTAATGTAAAGAAATACTTTTTTTTTTATATTACAATACAAACATATAATTCACTAATTATATACACATAATAAATGTATAAATTACTTAAGCTTTTTAAAGAAAAAATTTTAAAAATGAGCATGCTTACTATTATTAGTAAACGCACATTTTAGTAGAAAATATAGTAATAATAGATAATTGTAATAAAATAAATAGCATAAAAAGCATACTAATTGATATAAATTATTAAATTCTTTGTAAATTGCGCAGCTTATTAACAAATTATTTATTAATTGAATTATGTTACATTGTTTTTTATTCGATTAAAATTAAAGATCGAAAATAAATTAATAATGCATAAATTTCAATATAAGAAGTTCTTATTAAAGCCAAATTTGTCATTGGATGTTTACGTAAAATAATTTATAACATCAAAATTAAAGTTATATACAATAATACAATATGACATACATTTCAACCTTTAATCTGATCATCCTCAGTGTTAACACAGTTATTTATAAAAATAGCCTCAAATATATAAAATCTGATAAAGAGATAGATTTTTTTAAGTTCTCCAAATAGGTGTGCGTTCATTAATTACAGATTCGATGCATTACAGAGATATGCTGAATGTATAGACGTGAGGACTATGGGTGTAACATCATATGCCATCCAACAATATTCCAAAATATGAGTTGTACTGTACTGTATAAATAACTGTGTTGACACTGAGAATGATTAAAGGTCTAAGTGTATGTTGTATTGTTTATTGTTAATGTAATTTTAATTTTAATGTACGTATAAAACATCCAACAGTTTTGGCTCTAATAAATCTTTCTTATATTGAAATTTACGAATTATTAATTTATTTAAATCATTCGTTATACACAAATAACAAATTACTGAAAAAAATAACTTGTTATTTGTATGTAACAATTTGTGTGTTATTTTTATTCATTACGTATAAACATAGCCCAGCGTTTAGTTAATTATCGTAACAGTCATAAAAATTGCAACATCATTATCGTTATTATGAAAATCGTTATTGTAAGAAGCAATGGTGAAAGTAATGGTGTTACTACACTTTCACTCTCTGTATAATTATTTATTATAAAATTAAACAAAAAAAAAGTAAACTGAAGTAAAATTGATCCAAAATGATCAACTAAATAGATTTTCATGAAATCCTGAAGAGAACGAAATATTATTTGAAAGAGCGGCATATTATAATTCTATATCTCAAGTCACCAATTGGTCACCTCTACATAAAATCCTTTTACCAGTATGATTCTATGACTCACAATCAGTAGAACGTTTAATGAAAATCTCTCTTTATTTAATTGATTATTTATAGATATAGGACTAATTTTGGTATGCTCCTTTTAAAAATATAAAGAATATATTAGGTGTTGGAATTAATTCGTAGCGTTTTTAATGAAAGAATGTTATTTATTTCACATGAGCATTAAAAAATACATTAATGAAAGTACTTCCCATCTCTTGTAAAACGCTACGAATTAATTCCAACACCTAATACAATCATTTAACAGTGCATCATTTAACAAAATATATTTGATTTATTGTAACGTGACAAAAAATATTTTGAATGTTACATTGCTTAGATCCAGTTTTATCATCTCCTATAAATTCGATCAATCGATTATTCTACTGGAATTGACCAATAACATTTATCGTCAAGTAAAATTGATCAGACACTTAATCTACTGATCAAACTGATTATCAAAGATGGTGAAATCATTATATACTTTTGTTAAATTGCAGTAACAATGCATAATTACATTTGTTTAAAAATACTATTGATTCTTTTAATGTGTTTAATGACAAAATAAAGTTAATATATATATAAAAATATAGATATGTTAATATATGTATAAGCTGCACAACAGTATGACAACAGACTTGCAGTAGATTTTGTCAGATATTGTAACAAATCCGATATCATTTGTGACTGTAATGTATGGTATTAGACTCATGTTTTATCGGCAGATATAATCTGACAATAGATAATCAACACAAACTAAACGAAATTTATTA